CCGAGCTTTCACCATCTTTGGATAAGCATCCCGGGCCTGTTTCAATGCAGCACGTAACAGCCACCGGCAGCCTGCTGATGAAAGCGACCATCGCAGTTCCAACCAATCCGCAAGTTGCAAGCCTATGGTCTCGATGAGCCATGTTCAATCCCAGTCTACGCTGTTGCCTCACCAACGAGCTTCATTAGCTTCATGCAAAAAAAGGCCACTTCTGTCTTGGTTGCTCCCTCTCTCGTTCCTGGGCATTCCTCCGATCCCCCGCTAAAAGTTCAACTTTTAGCGGGTCAAAAGAAACAAGCCCACTTAAGCTGATGAACCGCATGGCTGGGAGCCAAGGTTCCTTGCCGTAGAAAAGCCAACTCCAGCGGCTCGAGCTGGCGCCCGCGCCTCTTTGAGCTCCTCCTCTGTGAGATGCTCGTACTTCTTGAAGTTCGCCTCCAGGCCTCGAAACACGGGCCGAATATCAACACATGGCCATGGGTCAAAATCCAAATCGGTTGGCCCCCAGTGAACATCAACCAATCCAACCACTAAAATAGGTTCTAGAATGGGTGGTGAATTCACCTACCCCAAAATGGGATCCCATTGGTTTTGACCCACAGCCACATGATCTTGGAAAGTATCCAGGAGGTCTGCAAAGACACACAATGCTCTTGGTGTCCTTTGGAGGAAATCCAACCAGTTACGGACTTCTAGGGGTTCTTTGGCACCCAGGACGTAGAATATGCGCACAGCCTTCGAAGTTCGAAAGCCCGTTTGACTCGCTGGGGACATGGCAGCTCGGCTATGTCCGTGGTAGAGCTTTGTGCCCGAAGCACATCCATGAACATGTTGGGGTTCTTTGGGTGTGAACGCTTAGCGAAATGACATAGAAGGAGCTCCGAAGGATCTCCCAGTTTGCATGTACAAACATGCAGAACAGCCAAAGCAGCACCAAGAACGACAACCTACAACCTTGCAGCTACAACAAACAGCCAACAAACAGCCAACAAACAACCAACAGTCAACAACCAACCAGCACATGACACAACCAGGACCACGACCACGACCACCACTCCCCGACCACTGCCACCTCAGCCACGGGCCATCGACCACATCACCGCCACCACCAACCATCCAATCACCAACCACCGAACCACAATCCAGCGCACCACAAATCACCGATCGCCACCAATCGCCACAAATCTCCGCCGCCGCACCATCACCACCACGACCCTGCCTGAGCACGACCACGACAATAACTAAGACCAACAGCATCATCAACACCAACAGCATCATCAGCACCAACGATGACGACGACCCTCCGAGCCGCCGCGCTTGCAATCGGCCAATCGCAACCCTACGTTACTTGCGTCGACTAGAAACCATGGCTATTGGATGGCTCTTTCAATCAATTTGCTTTGAACCTCGTTGCGTCGCCATGCGTCGCCACTTGGAACGACCCACGGCAATGGCACCCCGCTGAACTCTGAGCTTCTGGCGCTCATCTCTCTCGATGGCGTCGGGGCCTTAGAAGCGGCTGAGCGGCTGAGCGGCTTTCTGCTACGCTTTCTGCTACCCTCCCAGCGAGTCCAGGGGCTTTGTGCACCCAGCCCCGGAGAAGGACGAGAAAAACACACTCCTCTTGGAAAAGGGGGGGGAAGGTTGTGCACTTCCAGGTTCGGTGGGAGGGTTTTACAGTTTTGAAAGCTTTAGCGGGTGTGGGAAACTAGCCACTAAACCAAGCAAGGTGCTAAGCCAAGTCCAGAGCTGATGAGAGCCTAACAAATCCTTTTGGGCCCTGCACCTCATGGCATGGGCTTCGACTTCAAACACTTCTTGGTGTCGAGCACCTGGGTGCGTCCCATTCGGGTTGAAGTTTGGTCACCCTTCCGTCCAGCCCTGTGGGGTGAACATTCAACCAGGATACGGACCGCAGGTCTTCGTCCGTTTCTTTTCCCAGGGCAAGTTCCATTTCGGGGTTCCCCGTTTTTGACCAGCCATCTTCGAAGGTCGTATGTTCCGCATGTTCTCCAGTCCTCGAACCATAGACAATACTGCTTGGGATCGCCTCCCATGCCTCATCCCCAATGAAGCAAAGACTTCTGGCAACATTGGGGGTGGACGAAATCCATTTCGCACCACCGTTCAGAAACCCTGGAATGATACGACTCCCCCGTAAATACCACCAAAAATGACTTCAACGGTTTCAACCATGGTTTCAAAGTGGTGCAGGATTTCGACCACCAACAGTATGGTCCGTTGCTCATTGGTCATACTCAACCATGTCAAGAAAAAGGAAGCATGCCCCTACCGATACGAAAAATCATGAGAGGTCTCACGCGTGGGCCGAGCTTTGGGCTTTGCTCACATCCCCAAAATTCATAGGTGGACTGTTGTCACTTCCAGGGTAAATGGAATACCAAGGTGACCTTTTGGACGCTTAGATGGGTTTCCCTCTCATAAATGGAATACCAGTCTGAACCAGAGGAACCAAACTATGCGATCAAAAGGACCTATGCCCAATGCTTCCCTAAGCATCAAGTGCAAAGGAGGTGCCCACAACGTGCCTGGAGTGAAACACACGGGACAGCCGCCAAAAAAAGGTCCTGGCGACTGTGTGAGTGACGCTTGCAGACCAGAAAAGTCATGGGGGCAAAACCCGGTGAATCCCCACCCCTTCGTGTTTGGCCGAAAATTTGGGTGTCTCAAAATAGGGGAAACCTCCAAACAGTTGGGTTCTCCTTTACACCAGGCCCAAACAAGGGTGCCCTGCAAAATAAGCTCAGGTGATATCCCCAACAAGCATGCGGTGCTCTTTTGTGGAACCCTCGTGGAACCGTGGTGGAAGCCGCCCTGGACCACCCCGGAGCCTATCTGGGCTGAGACCCCAAAGCTTTCAGCTGGGGAAAAAAAGCAGAAACCCATTTGGGTGTGGCTGTGGCTCAAAATTAAACAGGAGGGGTTACGCAGGTTTTGGTCCATGTTTCCACTAACCAGGGCAACCCATTTTGGTCCCGGTATTTTGAGCCACAGCCATTTGGGACCCGTCGCCGAGTAAGGACCGGACTTTTGTTGGCCGCCGCTTTCGCCTTTGCCTCGGCCTTGGCTTTGGCGTCGGCCTTGGCCTTTGGCTCGGCCTTGGCCTTGGGCTCGGCCTTTGGCTCTGCCTGGGCGGCACCCTACTTTTGTAAGGGCTTTTGAATTACGCCCTGGGATTACGCCCGCTGGGAAATGACCCCACTTAGGCATATTTCCGGGATAACACCATGTTATTTTGGACCATGTTGGGCCACTTCCCAAGGGTGTAATCCCAGGGTGTAATACAATAACCCTTAGAACTTTGCACTTATGGGCCATATGGATATCCAACTAGCGGGACCCGGCAGTAGTAGTGGTTTCCTGTTGGTTTCCCGTTAAACCAACCTGCAAAGGGTTCCCTGCCCTCAAAATATTATATATATATATATGTTTCTGCAGTACAGCATATATATTTCTGCAGTATAGCATATATACCTGCATATATACACACACACACATATGTATGCTCACACACCCCCGGATCTGTAGCCAAAAGGCTAAACCTATGTGGGGACTTATGGAACTAACATTGATTAACATCCTGTTTGGAAAGGAGTTCCCACTCAAATTCTCAATCGACATAGACATGCAAATGTCATTTGCATTGCAAATAATTAACGTCCTTTTGGGAGAGGAATTTCCTCTTAAATTATAAGAAACTAATCGTAGACATTCAACTGCAATCTGTATACAGTTATTCAATGAACATGCTCCCCATATAAGGCTCTGTGAACAATACCACGCAAAGCTGTATGCAAAGCTCACTTGTGAACCTGCCTACGAAATAGACCTCTAAAAAAGCGCTCCAAAAAGCGCTTTAAAAAGCTTCCTACAATTTTCCATGTTGAATGAGAATTCAACGGGGAGTTCCCTTCCACATATGAAAGTCACATTAGCCAGTAAAAGACGCAGAGTTTCATAAGGAAAGAGTTCCACTGGACTGTTATCTTCAATTAGACTTTAGATAGAACATCCATTCCATGAATAGAACTTAACCAAGGGAAGTGAGAAGTGATTCAACTATAATGACTATGCTAATTGGATTTCGAATGTGAATCCTTTTATATAAAGTTTTAGCAATCATGTAATTGGAATTGTGATAGAACTGACAAAGGCCTTACAAGGACTGTTATAAGGAGCTTTATAAGGAGCCTTTATAAGGGAGCTTTACAACAGCTGGAGTCAAGGTTTGAACGCCACTGGGGGACCTAGTTGAGTTTCTAATTATGGTTTAATCACAGTTTTGTGTTTTGGTGAGTGTCACCGGAAACGCCTGAAAAGCCTTGCTGTTTTTGGCTTTCTGAAAAGCAAAACACACGAAGCGTTTTTTCAGAGCCAGAAGGTCAAAACCTAAAAACACCTCGAGTTGTTGTGGTGCAAAAGAACTGCGGGGAAACAACACAACGCATTTGTAGCCAAGTACCAGCAATCATGCTCACAAGGGCTAAGCATGCACAAACACAGTGTGTTGTGTGATAAGCTCAAAGCAAGCAGCGTCCATTAAAAATCATGGTTCGATGTGCATGGCATTCGGTTGGCCCAATTTGGGCCAACCATCAAACGCAGTGTGAAAACAAACAAGCTTACAAACGCAAGGCTTTTTAGCTTATAAAAGGAGGCGAAGTGAAGGTAGATCAGGGGGTGACCCCATATATAAAATGACGTATATATATATATAATTTATTGATTGTATATAATCATATACTGTATTATATAATATATACTATGTAGGAACATATTCATGGGATGTACTGCCCAAAACAAAGATGGAACTTGCGAAAAACTGGTCTTCCATACTTACTCTCCAAACAAACGTCCACCAGGCTGGATGTCTGCTTTTGGAGGAGCACCCCCCACGCCAATTACAACCCAGGGTGCGTCATCCTTACTAAGTCCCATGAACTCGCAAGGCGGCCAAATGGCGGCATCGACTCATTTTTCTCACTAAAGCTCAATGAGTTGCGCGGCTCGGAGGAAGTCAGGCACATAAGCATCAAGCTGACGCCAAAACACCGGAGACCTGAGCAAAAGGGCCAAGGTCAAGCCCAGGACACCGAAGCACCAGCGCATGGATTGACTGGTCAAGGCTTTGGCTGTGGCTTCCACCAGGAACAGCGCAAGCAGCAGCTGCCACGCCAGTTCCGTGGTGGAAGCGCGAGCTAGTTGCCGCATGAATCGCTGCCGCAAGCCCTCGCTGCAATCGGGCAGGGACCGGATGGTGTCAATGTCAACCCAGGTGAGGCTGTCCTCATAGGCAATCTGGGGGTATAGGCCACGGAAAGATGATAAGCGCAGCGGAGCAATGCGGGAGGTGTCCATGTCCATCAGGAAGGCGCTGGAGGCTCCTAGGGCGCGCTCCACCTGCGGAAATTTGGGCGCGAAGCAGGAGGCGACGGAGGGCTGCAACGAAGGGTGGCGCAAGAGCCGAAGCGTTGGAACCACAAAGTTGTCCTCGTCCTCCGACACCTCCCCTCCGCCGGCGCGGATCTCGGCTACCTCCGTCTGGTACTGTGTTCTGGACTCCTCCAGATCTCGGGCGGCGCGTGCCATCGCCGTATCCGAGGCATCCAGCAGCACCAGGCAATAGACCCGGCG